ATATCTGACTTTCCAATAAAAATAAACCTAAAAAAAAGTCAGGCCCACACTCCACATTGCAGCGCCTGGGTTCCCCATCCACCTCTGCTCCTGCCTGACTTCCTGCTATCCAGGCCCTGGGAAGCAGAGGTGACAACTCAGGTACTTGGGCCTGGGAAAGCATTAGAGTATGGCCCAAAGCCTGGGGACCTGCACCTACACGGGGGACCTGGAGGAAGCTCTTGGCTTCAAATTGGCTCAGCTCTGGCCACTGTGGTCACTTGTGGGGAATGAACCAGCAGATGGAAGATATCTTTCTCTCTTCTCTGTAAATCTGAGTTTCCAATAAAAAAATAAATGAATGTTTAAAAGAGAGAGAATGAAAAGACAAGCAAAAGACAAGGAAATGCTCGTTAGAAAGTTTGTCTCTAAAACATATGAAGAACTCTTAAACTTCAACTGAAAGGACACAGGTGCAGGCATCTGCTGCAGCAGCCAGGTAACCCACGCACCAGGCTGGAGCGCATGCGTTTGCTTCTTGATTTGGCTCTGGTGCCTGACTTTCTGCTAACGCCGTCCCTGGAAGCCAGTGGTGATGGGCCACGTGGATGAGCCCCTGCTGCCCTGGGACAGAACTGAGCTCTTTGTGCCCAGCTTTGGTCTGACTCAGTCCTTGCTATTAGCAGGCATGTGGGGATTGAACCAGCTGAAGACAGCTGTGTGTGTGTGTGTGTGTCTGTCTGTCTGTCTGTCTCTGCCTTTCAAAGAAATCAAAGAGGAAACAATCCAATCAAAAAGGGCAAAAGCTCCAGACAGACCTCAGCAGAGCTAACAAACATGGCAAACGAGCAGACATAAAATGGCTCAGCATCACATCGCCAGGGAACTATCAATTAGCACAGCAATGAGACTCTGTTGCACATTAACAGAATCACTAAATTAATTCTTCAAAAGCCAACAAGGAGGTAGAGCATCAAGAATCCCCGTCCGCTGCTGGAAGGGCAAAGCAGCACAGCCTTTCTGGAAGCTGGTTAGGCAGCTTCCTACCAAGCACACGGTGCCTGCCCCGGAGACCCAGGAACCAGACCACTGGGTACTAACCCAAGTGAGCAGAGAAGAGTTGCTCAGAATAGCCCGAGCACAGAGGTAGGTTATCCTTAAGGGCGGTGGATGGACACCCCGACAACAGAACAGCAAACAGTGACACTATCAGCCACAAAAGACACAGAAGGACTTCAAATGCATGTAGCTTGCTGCGTTAGTCGGAAGAGCCTGCCGCTGTAGAACTCCACCTACATACCATCCTGAAAAGGGCATGCCATGAAGACAGTGCAGAGACCAGGGGCTGCCAGCAGACAAGGTGGCAGGGTCAGCAGGTGGTGTAACAGGTACTCGGGGTAGACTGCTCAGAGGCTGCCGCGACGATGGATACAGGGCATCACACACAGGTTGGAACTCACAGAACACAACATCAAAATAAACCCTAAAGTGACACACATCTGTTTTGATAATTCTGTGGTTATCAATGCACCCCATCAGGAAAGGGGGTTACTAACACAAGAACTTGGGGAGGCTTATGGTGAGAAGTGGTCTATAGAATCTCCATGTTATCCAAGGAACCTAAACCTGCTCTAGAAACCATGCTATTCATGCTTTCAAAAACAACACTAGCAAATCGAGACCAAAGCAGCCTCCCAGCCTCCCAGAACTTCAGCAGAAACTTCAGCACAATGGCTGCTACCACATTGGCACACTTCTTTCCAGTCATTTTTTTTCAAACATCTCGGTCTGTCGCTTTTCCTAAGAGTTGCTGTCATGCTGCTAAACCTGCTCTGAAAGCCGGCAGTCTGATTCCATGTGGATTTGTCCCCGCAAGGAAAGGCACCCATATAAACCGTCGGTGATACCAAAAACAGATCTTGGAGGGGCCTGTTGCTATGGCAATGATTGCAAATACATTTCATTTCACACTACACCCTGCTAATGTGCTGACCAGAAGGAAGCAGAAATATTTGGAGTAACTCAAGAGGAGCAGCCAAGGAAACTTCTAAGAGCACAAAAGGAAAATATACCGGCCCAGCACAGATTCAGGGAAAGCCAGGAGCATGTGCCAGCAGTGTAACCACCTAAGCCCTTTGAGTAACCACATCCAAAGCGGGAGGGAGGGAAGAGGACCTGGGAATCTGCAGAGGACTTACTCCTTCACGAACAGTTCAAGGCCCAAAGCAATTTCCCCTCCCCCTCACTTCCCAGTATGTGAGCTGTCTCTACGGAGCTAGGGATACGCTCCAGTTAGCAAGCTGTAAGGCCCAGGCCGCAGATGACCAGTGTGGCAAACAAGGTAGCCCTTAATGTAAGCAGTGGGTGCTAGGGGCACCTGCACAGGGCTTGCCTCTGAGAGCCAAATCTTCTGGGGGGTTCTGGGAGAAGCCTCAAGATGGCAGAGGGTAGGGGACACGAGGGAATGACATTTTCCAACAGAAGAATTATAACACATGAGGTGATCAGACCTGACCAGCAGGTGCCAACTGCATTCTGGCCTTTCCACAAACAACACTGTTACACAAGAACACACATCAGGGGCCAGCATTGGGGCACAGCAGGTGAAGCCACCTCTTGTAACACTGGTATCCCAAATGGACAGTGGTTTACTGCTGCTCTACTTCTGATCCAACTTGCTGCTCACACACCTGGGAAAGTAGCAGAGGACGGCAGAGCTTGAGTCCCTGCCCCTCAAGGTGGGAGACCCAGATGGGAGTTCTTGATTTGCGGCTGTTGCAACCGTTTGGAGAATGAACCAGCTGTAATTCATCCTTTCAAATAATATAAATACATGAACACATCAAGAGCAGTCTCAAAGGGGAAGAGTAGTGTTGTTAAGACCAATGGGCATTGTGGAGTGTGAGCACAGGCCTACCTCCACCTCAGAGAACAGCCCAGCTCTGGGAGCAGAGGGTTCCAGTCTCATGGCCCAGCTGCCACGCTTTTCCACGCAGTGGCACCTCAGCTTCTCTATCTGTGAAGTGGGTGTGATTGCCCCACCTCATGAGGTTTTCCTAAGGACTGAAGAAGAGCTAGGCCCAACATAGGACCTGGCACACAGTGAGGGCTGCCGCGTGTGGTCACTGCCACCACTAACCCATCTGTGGAGGGCACCATCTGTAGGGCAGCACTTTGGATTTTTGGATATTTTTTAACACAGTTGGTGACCCCCTTCCCCTATCCAGGCTCCTGTGTGGATGCCTGGTCGTGGTCACTACCCAGAGACCCTGATGAATGAAATATCAGGCAGTTGCCTTGTTTCCATAGCACCCCAGAATAGCTCTGTACTCCAGAAAACAGCCAAGACTTCCAAGGGCAAACCACCAGACTAGAGAAGTACAAAGTTAGGGACACCCTGGTGACAGCCCCTCACACAGCGCAAAGCACCCAGGGTCAGTGTTGCTGGGAGGATTATTAAGCAATGATTGATCACAGACACATGTCCCCATTCCCAAAACGTACAAAGCTACACCTAGCTGTTTACCAAGTGTAGCTAATGGATTAATATTTTTAGTTGGAGGGAAATGCTTTGGTATAGAAAATTAGCACCAAACATAGGTCTGTCCCCATTTCCCAGAAATGGCAATTGTTAACATTTGTTAGAATACACCAAGTCTTTAAAAGAGAAAAAGGGGAAGTAAAAAGCAACTATGACAGATTAAGTCTATTTTCTTCCCTGCTCCTACAATGCTTTCTTGCCCATTTTCACACTCACTGTTATGAATGTGATCTTTATCCATCTGGATGTACTTTTTCCTTGTTTCATCTAAATGCTCTGGGTATCAGCTCCCTGCTAAAGGCCTCAGACAGGAGCACATAGCCCACAGTATGTGGGTTCTTGGACTCCTGCACCCACACTGGAGACCCAGAAGAAGCTCCTGGCTTCAGACGGACCTAGCTCTGCTGTTGTAGTCATTTGAGGAGTGAAGCAGCTGATGGAAGCTCTCTAGCTCTCCTCTCTGTAACTCTACCTATCAAATAAATAACAGCTTTAAAAAAGGGTGGGGGGTGGGGGGAAGGTTGGTGGCACAACACAACTGGCTAATCCTCTTCCTCTAAGAGCTGGGATCCCTTACGGGTGCCGATTTGTGTTCCAGCTGCTTCATTTCCCATTTAGTTCCCTGCTTGTGGCCTGGGAAAGCAACTGAGGATGACCAAAACCTTTGGGACCCTACACCTGCATGAGAGACCTGGAAGAAGCTCCTGGCTCCTGGCTTCAGATCAGCGCAGCTCTGGCCATTACAGTCACTTGGGGAGTGAACCAATGGATTGAAAATTGTTATCTCTGTCTTTCCTTTTCTTTGTAAATCTGCCTTTCCAATAAAAATAAATGAATCTTTTTTTTTAAAGATTTATTTTATTTTTATTGGAAAGGCGGATATACGGAGAGGAGAGACAGAGAGGAAGATCCTCCATCCGATGATTCACTCCCCAAGTGAGCGCAACAGTTGATGCCATGCCGATCCGAAGCCAGGAGCCTCTTCCAGGTCTCCCACGAGGGTGCAGGGTCCCAAAGCTTTGGGCCGTCCTCAACTGCTTTCCCGGGCCACAGGCAGGGAGCTGGAAGGGAAGCGGGGCCTGCCGGGATAGAACCGGTGCCCATATGGGATCCCAGGCATGCAAGGCGAGGACCTTAATCACTGTGCCACCACGCCGGGCCCATAAATGAATCTTTTAAAAAAATTTTAAAAGACAAATGAAAGCAATAACATCTGGAAAAAATATTCTAGGCTTCATTTTAAGCAGAAAGAAAATAAAAGGAAATATGGTGAAGGTGCTAAGCAAAAACATCTTGGTGAAGCTGGGGTACAGAAAGTGCCTATGGAGTTACCCCAAGAACCATCCAGGCACCTGATCAGGAGCAGCCCACACGGCCGTTAGGCAGAGCCGCCGGGGAGATGGGTGCAGCTGGCCAGCTCACAATCACCTACCGGCCCAGCAGACGCTCCAGGCCATGGCCTTGACTCCCAAAGGCTTACCTGGGTCCAAGTGGCTGAAAGAGCCCACCACAAAGTCCAGCGTGGACACGGCCAGCAGGAGCAGCAGCAGCAGCTGGAGGCGGATGATCCACTTGACCCCTGCCAGGTTAATCCCCAGCAAGGCCAGGAGCACAGCCACCGAAATGCCTCTCACGGCCCAGATGTTCCTGAGGCCCAGCAAATCCGAGATGGATTCAGCAAAGCCAGTGATATACATGGCACCTGCAACACACTGACAGGGGATTCCAGGTAGGAAGGGCTGGCCAGAAAGAGTCCCAGGAACCCAGCCACACCCCCCAGCTCAGCATCTGGGGACAAGCCAGCAGGGAACATGACTCATGCCCCATTTCGGCCCCCCTACATCTCCCATCAGATCCAAGCCCACAGAGCTGACTTCCAGCAGTAGCTCAGGAGAAAACATTGTGGAAGCAAACATACAGGCTTCTGCGCCAAAAGGGTCTTTGGAATTTTTGTTTTGCATCACTCAGATACTAAACACAGAACTAAAACACACGAAGGTTCCACTAGCCACAGAGCCACACAGCAGGGTACCACAACAAACCACAGGATTGGGGCTGGTGCTGTGGCAATGCAGGGGAAGCTGCTGCTTGCAGTGCTGGTATACCAAATGGACTCTGGTTTATGTGCTGGCTCCCCTCCTTTTGATTCAGTTCCCTATTGATGCACCTGGGAAAGAAGATGGAGGCTGGCCCAAGGGCTATCTGGAAGAAGCTTCTGTCTGACTCAGTGCCAGGCACTGCAGCCCTTTGGAAAGTGAACCAACAGATGGAAGATCTCTCTCTCCCCCTTCCTGCAACTCTGACTTTCAAATAAATAAATCTTAAAAAACAAACAAACAGGGCTTTTCCATTTCTTTTGGGGCATTATTTTTACAATTACCTGAAACGTGGAGATGAAGGAGAAGGATGGCAGATCTTTTCATGTCATGGGTAATAAGACTTCCTAGGCGAATGTACTTAGCTTGATTACCACTACAAATGAGGTCTAGTCCATGTCCCAGGCTTAGGGACCTCACAGGAATGGACAAATCTACTCCTATTAGAGATGCAAATAACTTCTACCTAACAGAATAGATAATCTGAAAGATGACTTGGTTGCAACGCAAGACATGAACTTTCATCTAACCTAGCAATCTTATCTTCACATGTGTCTATTAAGTTGTCCAACCATGAACACAAGGATTTTACCTCCATCCCACACGGGGTCCACACCTGTGGACTCAACTCCTCTATATTATCTTACTGATTCCCTCAGTAACTCATGACTTACAAAGGCTTTGGTCTGCTTCTACAAATGCTTGAGAGCCACGATTTTATCTTTTTGGGGAATATCTTAAAGACAATTTCAAATAAACCACTGAACATAACACCAGCTCCCCTTGCATCATTCCTCAGCCTCTGCCCCCCACTCTGCAGGTTCCTTTCTGCCCTGTGTCCCCCACTCTTGTCACCATAGCCCCCATCTTGCCATCCTTCCAGGAGACACATTCTGCGAGGGTCCCATCTAACTTCCTCCATTTCCATGAATTCTTTCGTATCCTCCTTTTGAAAACAAATGTGCTGTCCCCAGCCTGTGCCATACTACATCAGCTGGTCTTATACACCACTATGATTTCACACACATAAACCCATCTCTATTTCCACTCCCCCAAAATGCAAACATCTTTTTTTTTTTAAAGAGTCCTTTTATGAGGTAGCCTAAATAGGGCTGGCCCATGGACTCACTGGTGTGCATGAAATCTGGCATTGGGAGAGGTTCTGATGGAGGAGCTTGGGAAACTCCTCTGCCAGGACACAGTCCCTGCAGGTGAGCACAAGAATCATGATAGGGAGAAGCCCAGACCAGGCCAAGAAATGGTACCCACTGGCATATATTTGGCTCAGGGAAAGGGGAACACCAGCTGGACCAGTTCATATCATCCTCTGGTGAATCCAAGCACCAGAATGGAGTGTGGGTCGGGCCAGGTTGGGCCGCAACACAAGCCAGTTCACATGACGTCCAAGCCTTGTGGCTGGCTGGGTTGGGCTAGGCTGTAGCCCCCATGAGTGACTGGAACTAGGGGTGGGCTGGGCCTGGCCAGGCTGCAGCACCCACTGGCAAATGCCAAGGTGAGGCAGGTCATGCTAGCCTGGGCCACAGCACTAAACCAGCCCACATGAGACCCATGGGAAGAGGGGGACAAAACCAGTAGTGGGACTGCATGGACTGCTGGACTACCACTCCCACAGGTGAGTGTGAGAGCTGGGATGCGGGCAGACTGAGCAAGGCAGAGCTACAGCACCTGTGGGCCTCATGTGAGCTTCCCAGCCTAGGTCAACTGTTCAAACTGGTGCATGCATAAGTCAGAGTGGGTGTGGGTTGGATGGACTTTACTGCAGCATCAGCTGGTAGATGCTGACACAGGTTGCAACACAAGCCAGTTCAGAATTGGCAAATTCTGTCAAGTTAAACTGCAGAACCACCTGGAGAATACAAGATCCAGGAATGGGAGTGGGTCCAGTAGGGAAACAGTGGACACCTCCCTCTTGGGTTGCCACTCTGACTGGTGAGCATGAGAACCAGGACTGGGGCAGGCATGGCTAGACAGAGTGGCACCTGCTGGCATATGTGTAGGCTGGAGTGTGGGGCTGGTTATGTCAAACTAGGCTTCAATGCCAACTGACAAGTTTGAGAGCTGAAGGGGATGTGGAATAGACTGGACTAGTCTGCTGTGCATATTGGCAAGCATGGGAACCAGGACAGGGGACAGTTCTAGTGGGGGTTATTGTGGGTCACTCTGACTAGGCAACAGCTCCCACTGGTTTGCATGAGGGCCGAGTGTATGGTGGGCAGGATTGGGCTGGGCTGCAACACCCATTGGTTTGTGTAGAAGACAGGGCTGGGGACAGAACTGACCCAGCAATTGCAACCACCAGTATGTGCATAAGCTGACTGGGGAGACAGACTGTGTTTGACAGACTGTATTGGCAAGCACATGCAAAAATCAGGTCTGAGGTCACCTCAGATGAAGTTTATTTGGAGGTCCCTCCAACTGAACCGCTGGACTCAGAACTCCAACCATGGAGAGAATTGCAGGTTCCATGGTCTGATGGTGAAGCTGGGCCTTCTCAGTGGCTTAGATGGAGCAGTGGACAGCATATCCAGGTGCACATGGAGAATATGGCAGTACATTGGAACCTGCAGAGGACACCTGGTACCATAATGGAGGATGGAGGACAGAACAAATTGATCAACTGCCCCAGCCAAGTGCTGGCAGTGAATAACTGAGCAAACGGAGACTCTAAGGTGGACTATGTCAACATCGTGATTGGAGTGACAAGATAAGCAGTAATTCAGAACTGTTGAACTATCAAAATCTCTTGAGCAGTGCCCTCAGAGCATGCCCCACATTGGGAACCCTGGGGTGGTACTGGGTGGCTGTCCTCCATCCCAGGGTGCAGAGGTGGCTGGGAGGCTGGGTGTGGCTTCTCCCCTTTTTTCCCCTCTTTCCCCAGATACAGGAAGGAAAAAAAAAGATTGTGGAAATAATGGTCTCACCCACCTTCCTGTAGCCCTTGACCTTTTGTGCCCTAATCATCATAAAGAAAATCATCATAAAGAAGTTGCATTTTGTTAACTATAACTTAGAAAATAAAAAAGAGTTATTAAAAAAAACCCCAGCCCTTTTTCATGTTGATTGCTCTGTGCATTTGCTGAGAATGCTGCAAGTATCCAGTAAATACGGGGGCAGGTGCCCAGTTGTAGCAGCAGCACGTCACATTCCAGTGCTTCTCTGCAAATTCCAGATGGGGAAGAGTTTCTACACTTGAGGGGCATGCATAGAAGGGGCTCCTTTCTTCCCTGGGACGGGTTCATTTTACAATGAGGCCTAGAATATTTGTGTAAGTGTCCCCACCACGTTGTGGCACACGAGCCCACTGCCTGCAGTACCAGCACCTCAAGGGGATTGGTTCAAGACCCGGCTGTTCCCTCCACTTCTGATCCAGCTCCCCGCTCATGACCTGGAAAAGCAGTGGAGAATGGCTCAAGTCCTTGGGTCCCAGCACCCACGTGGGAGACTTAGAAAAAGCTCCTGACTCCTGGCTTCAGATAGGCTCAGCTCTGACCACTGAGGAGTGAGGCAGCAAGTGGAACATATCTCTGTCTCTCCTCCTCTCTGTAACTCTGTGCTTCAAATAAAAATAAAGTAAATCTTTTTTAAAAATCAAAAAGTGGCCATAAAAAGATCACCATATGAAATTAATAAAATAGAAGAAAAAAATAACAAAAGGAACGAGGCAAAAGCCTAAAGTCAATCCTTTTGAAGATAGATAAAGCCCTTGAAGTCTGACTAGGAAGAAATGGGAAAATGCAAAAACACAGACTTATAAAAATGAAAAAGGAATAAATGAAAGAATGAATGCAGGCAGTGGCATTGTGGCACATCAAGCTAAGCTGCTGCTTGCAGTGCCAGCATCCCAGCTGCTCTGACTCCAACCTGGCTCCCTCTTCATGCACCTGGGAAGGCAACAGAAGACATACAGCTACTTGGGCCCCTGCCGCCCATACAGGAGACTCAGATGAAGTTTCTGGATCCTGGTCCAGCCTGATCCAACCAGGTTGTTTGAGCCATTTGGAGAGAGAATCTGTAGATAGATACCTGTTTCTCTTTTTCTCTATGCCCCCTCCCTGCCTGACTCCCCTCTTTGCTCCTGTCACTCTTAAATAAATAAATACTTCTTAAAAAAAAAACCTAGAGTGACTGAATAGCAATGAGCCATTCATGATGGTACCTTCACATACAATGTTAGTTACTACTGTCGTTAGAAAGGCTGGCTTCAAGCACTGCCCTGGAGGCAAAGCTATGACTCAATGTTAAGTGAGAACTACAAGCCATGGGGCTGGGTACACCATCTGTCCTATTTGTGTGAAACAAGCAAGCACTTCACAACTCCATGGGAGCACCTGTCTGTCAGCTGTACAGAGACAGGAGGGGGAGCTGGCAGTTTAACCAGTCACTCCAGCAGAGAAAGGGGGGAACAAAATTGTCTGGTTTTTGTTTTTTTGAAGATTTATTTACTTATTATTTTATTGGAAAGTCAGATTTACAGGGAGAAGGATCTTATGTTCACTGGTTCACTCCCCAAGTGGCTGCAACAGCCACAGCAGAGCCCTATACGGCTGGATTCAAAATCCCATGTTCTTCATAGGAGTAAGAGGGAAGGGACTTAGATGTGTCCAGGGATAAACTGAACACCTGCGCCTTCCGGCCTGCTTCCAGCAGCTCCTCCTCACTCTCCAGCCGGAGGAACTAAAGCCGCACTCACGGCCCTTTGGTGGGCACGTGTTCCCAGGGGAGCTGACGTCCCACCTTCAGCCGGCTTTGCGTGGTTTTCCAATTCTGAGTTGTTTTGTATCAAGTCTGGCATGGAGCATGTTTGCCATCACCGAGGCTTTTACACCCGTCCATGCAGGCTGATGCTAGACACGCTGGTGTTCCAAAGAAACCCTGAGGCCCATGCAGATAACTAGAGCTGGGAGTGAACAGGGTCTCCAGCCACTGGCCACTCCACTGGCCCAGACTCTGGTCCCCAGGGTAGGAACTCCAGCAAGGCCTCAGAGAAACAGGAGAGGGACAGGCTTTGCAACAGTTGGGGATGAACAATAAAATTTTATAATTTCCTAAACTCTGATGCTCCGAGGCAGAGCTTGGAAAACTTTGACCCATGGCCAAATCTTGCTTGCTCCTGTTTTCACAACTAATTATTAGGGGACGGTTATAGCTGTTTTTTCCCCCTACTCTCACTGCCTCCCTATGTAATATATTGGCAGCATGCACTAGCTGTGACCGAGACATGGGCCTTACAGAACCTCAAATAGTTCCCGTTTGGTCCTTTACAGAAAGCTGCCAAGCTCTGCCTAGGAGCAAACCCAGACAACCTGCTCTGACAATCACTGAAATGAAATGACAGTACCAGTGTCCTGGGATGAGAGGTCTCACAAGGGACCTGAGGGACCCGGCTGCAACTGGAGGATGGAAGAATCCTAAGCAATGCCTAACCCTAAGCCCTAAAACCAGGAAGAGCAGCAGCAATAAGCAGAGCAAGTAGGAGGATGGGAACTAAGGTAAGAGCACAATTTTTTTTAAAGATATATTTATTTTGGGGCCCAAGGTGATAGACTAATGACTAAGATCCTCACCTTGCACATGCTGAGATCCCCTGTGGGCACTAGTTCATCTCCCAGTGGCCCTACCTCCCATCCAGCTCCCTGCTTGTGGCCTGGGAAAGCAGGCCAGGACGGCCCAAAGCCTTGGGACCCTGCACCCACGTCAGAGTCCGGGAAGAGGCTCTAGGCTCCTGGGTTTGGATCTGCTCAGCTCTAGCCATTGCAGCCACTTGGGGAGTGAACCAGTAGACAGAAAGATCTTTCTCTCTGTCTCTCCTCCTCTCTGTCCCTCTTTTTTTTTTAAACAGATTTATTTGTATTTGAAAAGCAGAGGGAGACAAAGAGAAAGATTTTTCTGTCTACTGGTTCACTCCCCAAGTGGCTGTAATGGCTGAAGCTGAGCTGATCTGAAGCCAAGAGCCAGGAGCCAGGAGCTTCCTCCTGGTCTCCTACATGGGTACAGGGCCCCAAGGCTTTGGGCCGTCCTCGACTGCTTTCTCAGGTCACAAGCAGGGAGCTGGATAGGAAGCGGAGTAGCCAGGACATGAACCAGTGTGCATATGGAATGCCAGTGCTTAATGGTAGACGATTAACCTGTGAGCCACAGTGCCAGCCCCAGAAATAATTTTTAAATACTAGGAAAACAACAGAGGAACAAGTAAAATCTCCAAAATTGGTTCTTTGTAGACAAATCATTCTCAAAAATGATCAAAGAGAAGAGGAAGAAAACTCCAATTACCAATATCAGGAATGGAAAAGCGTGACCACACTGCAGTCTAAAAGCAAAAAGGATTATTAAAGGAATCCATGGACAAATGCCATGCTGATGCCTTCCATAATCTAGATGAAAAGTTCCTCAAAAACCACCAGCAACTAAAACTGACCCAAGAAAAAAATCGAAACTGAGGATATGCCTATTGAAGTAAAATGACTGAATTAGTAATCCTGAGACTTCTCCCAAAGCAAAACCCATGAGCAGATGGTCTCGCCACCGACCGGCACCAAATGCTTAAAGAAGAATGGACACCAGTCCTTCACAGACTCTTCCGAAGCACAGACGAGGACAGAGCACCTGCCTGCTCTCCCACTGTAAGGCCACTGCTATCCTAATGCCAAAAACGGTCCATCACAAGCAAAGCACTGGCTATGGCCCTCGTGAATGTAAACCTGCAAGTGCTTCACACAGCACAGACATGCTAGGTCCTTCAGCCTGTGGAAGGAGTATGTTATAACCACACACTGACCAGAGACCCAAGGCCTGTGTCAGACAAAGCAGAAGCACACCCCCAAGCTGGGGACCAGAGGACACTCCGCAGCCCACATGGAATGGAAGCAACACCAGCAGGGAAGTTAACACAATGGCTTCTTGGGTTGTGGCCTAGAAGAAGCTCCTGGCTTTGTGTCAGCTCAGCTCTGGCCATCGGGGGGTGGGAGAGGGTGGACTAGCAGATGGAAGATATATATCTCTCTCTCCTCTTTCTTAAAAAGTCTTAAAAAAAAAAAAAAGGTAGAGCAAAGGCCAGCATGGCGTTACACAGGTTAGGTATCCATCCGCCATACCAACATCGCTTATATCCACTGGTTCGAGTGCTAGCTGCTCTGCTCTGATCTAGCTCCCTGCTAATATGCTTAGGAAGAAAACAGATGATGGCCCAAGCACTCGGGCCCTGCTGCCCACATCAAAGACCAAATGGAGCCCCTGGTTCTGACTTGAGCCACGTGCAGAAAAGGGAGGTAGATGAGTAAATGCAAGATTGATCTCTCTCAAAATCTTTTCTATTTTTCACATAAATGCAAATCTTTAAAAAAAAACAGTGACAACCCACCTGCCTCTCATTCACGTCCTAGACACACACGTGTGTCTGCGTGCACACACACACACACATGCACACAGAGCTTGCAGCTGTTACAGACTCAGATACGTTACAGACTATGAAATACTCCAATGCCTAAAAGAACCAAAAAGGATGCTTTCTTGGACGAGAAGCTGGTGACTCTTATTTAAAACAATTCCTGGATTTAAGCCACATCTTTAAACCAACCACCACCCTTCACACTGTTACACAAACGCTTGCAAGCCAAGAAATGCGCACGGTGAACTGCTTCTTAGTGCCTGCACTTGGCTGTTCTCAGCCTCAAGTCACCATTCCTGCATCTCCACTAAACAAGTCCTGGACCTTCCGCCTCCTCCGCGGCCTCCTGAGCACCTTTGGCCAGCCCCACACTGCTGTCCCTCATTCACAGTCCCCTTCCTGGACACAGTGTCTGCCCCAGGAGCCACTGTCTGCTTGCTTCCTCACCTCCATCCATATCAAAGAGGGAGTGCATGAGAAGATGGGAGCAGTGTGGCCTGGGGACTCGGGGGTGGGTGGCAGCCTCACCTGTCCGAAGACGTACAGCAGCCCAATGGTGCCTCCCGCCTGCCCACCAAGGACCGAGGAGATCATGGAGTAGACGCCGCCACTGCCCACGCCGCCATGGGCGCTCACGCCGATACCGGACAGCACGGTGACAAGGGCCACAAGGATGACACAGGACACCAGGAACATGCCCAGCAGCACACCCGTGTTGCCCTGCAGCAGAAACAGCGAGGTCAGGTGAGGAAATGAACCCCACCCCACCCCACCTACCAGCACCCCAAGAGCCACAGCCCCACAGTGTTTGACTGGTCTCCGGTCTCCCAAAGCATGATGCCCAAGCTACATGTCAGCAGGTACACTGAAGGGGTTGTGATCTGCAGACCCCTCCTCCTTCCCCATCCCAAGCCTCCCCGCTCATGTGGAGGCTTTGGATAGGCTAACTCTAGCTCTGAGGTTCAACACACCCCTCTCCATATGCATTGTCCCTGCAGCCCTTCCTTGACTCCTCTGGGTGCCAGGGCCTTAGGACGTACAAAGCCAGGACTGTGACACAGAGCCCTGGTCTCTTCCCAGGTCCCTATTTCTAGGCAAGATTTATGTTTTACCACAACTCTTCCTCCTGCCCACTGGGGCCCAGACAAACTTAGAGGTGGCCCAGTGGCCAGGAGGATCCACACCCATGCTCATGAGATGACTTTTGGGGACCCCATGGCTGGTCTGGGGTGAGACCAGGCCCTCGGGAAGAGAGCTGGCCAGCACATGATCTTCTCCATAGAACCTACCTCCCACCCCCAAATTTTGGTCAGAAGGCTGGCTAGGGCAAAACTCTGGAGGCAGCAACTGTTAACTCCAGGTCTCCCATGGGAGGGGCAGTAGCCCAACTTCCTGAATTCATTACTGCTGCCTCCTGGGGTAAGTATCAGGAGGAAAGTGGGATCGGAAACAGCCGGGATTGGAACCCAGGTACCTAAACATGGGATGTGAGCCTGCCAGGGGGCCAGCTTGGCTGCCTACCTCTTTCCAGTTTTTTTTTTAAGATTTATTTATTTATTGGAAAGTTAGAGATATACAGAGAGGAGGAGAGACAGAGAGGAAGATCCTCCATCTGATGATTCGCTCCCCAAGTGACCACAATGGCCGGTACTGTGACAATCCGAAGACAGGAGCCAGGAACCTCTTCCAGGTCTTCTACATGGGTGCAGGGACCCAAGGCTTTGGGCCGTCCTCCACTGCTTTCCCAGGCCACAAGCAGGGAGCTAGATGGGAAGTGGAGCTGCCAGGATTAGAACTGGCACCCATACAGGATCCTGGCACATTCAAGGCGAGGACTTTAGCTCCTAGGCCACTGTGCTGGACCCACCACTATTTTTTTTTTAAGGTAAAATGTAGCCCTCTGAGAAGTTAAGGACTGTACCGGGGTGCAATGAGCAGTAGCCACCACAATCTACGAGTCTCTGGCCAAGGCAGGGTCCTCTGAACAGCCACCCCGGTGGCACCCACAGAGAGGCAACTCTGACTCTAAACTTAATGCTGCCTGCCAGCCATGACCCTGAGTTCAACTCCCACGTGAGTGGCACAAGCTGCACCTGTGGCTGCTGGGTCCTCACTTCCCTCTGCTCCGTCCTCTTCTGCAAAGTAGAGATAGCTACAATCTTGATTTCTTACATGGCCAAGCAACATTGAACTCTAGGAGAATTAACTAGGTAGGCACCCTGAATGACATCTTTCACACAGGTGCTTATACAGTCAGCTATTCACAGAAATGATATTTATGAACCTTCTCTATCTTCCATTTACTCCATTTCCTCTTCAATGGCTAGCAGGGAGGATGGCATAACTGTGAGTTTAGTGGAGAAAAAGCTTCCAAAAGCCATTTAGGAATGGATGCAACCACTGACGCCACTGCTGATGGCTCACAAAGCCAGCGGGATTTCTGGAAGGACCCGGCCATGAATGATTCTGGGTGAGAACACTGCTTTTGCTGGGCTTCCATTTTTCATGAAATGACCCATTCCTGGCTTCTTCCCTAGTTCACCCTTTCAAGGTGTCTGCTGTGACCATGTTCACTGTCCTGCACCAAAACCATCATTCCTACCAGATGCACCGCCTTGAGATTCTCCAAATTAGAAGTATGTTATCCGAGTTAGTTGTTCTTCGGAGTTAACATTTCTTATTTCACATCATTTTGGCATGACCTCGACTTGCTTTAATCCTATGCCATTCTCTAAAAGCTCTAGTCTATTTTTGGCATTTCCCATTTGCCTGTATTTTTGTGATCAACTGTGACTCTCTTTAGGTGAACTAATGTCAGCACTGACAACTAGAAAGAAATCATTTCAGGCCAAGAGTTTGCCTGAGGCTCCTTCCAAAGGGTCCTGCTAGCATTGCCTCATAACATGCATTTTCCCATGAACTTTTGGAAGTACCCTTGTATTGGGAGGTGTGGGCCACCCCAAAGGTGGCCCCCAAGAGCCTTGACCCTAACACATCCCTACCTTGAATTTGGCTTGGATCTAGTGACACTTTAAGACTGATTTTTTTTTAGTTATTCAAACCGATCATATTAGTTGTAATTCATTTTTTCTTAAGTACAACATTAAGTATGCTTATCCCTTTGATTTAGGCTATTGGTTTTATCCACAGAGTAACTCACTTTGAATGAATGGATTATTGCAGAAACAATGAGTTATCACTTCTGAGATTTGGATGTGAAGTCTGGCTGGGGTGGGTGTTATGGTGAAGCAGGTTAGGCTGCCACTTCAATATCCACATCCCATATCAGGGTTCCTGAGATCAAGTCCTGCTCCCCTCTTTTGATCCAACTTCCCACTGATGTGCACAGGAGACATAGGGTGATGGTTCAAGTGCTTGGGCTGCTTGCACTCACAGAGGAGACCTAGATGACATTCTGGGCTCCGGGCTTTGGCCCAGCCCCCAGCCGTTACGGGCATTTAGGGAAGGAACCAGCAGACAGAAGTTCTATTTCTTTCTCCCTGTTGCTCTGCTTTTCAAACAGATGAAAACAAACTTTAAAAACTTTTTAAAAGACTATGAATTCTGTCCCAGGTGCTTGCTGGCTTACTTGCAGTTACTAGAGAGTACAAAGCCAGGAGAAGCCAGCTGCTCTGCCAAGAGGAAACCCTACAGAAGCCCCTATGGCCAGGACCAAGGCCTGCCAACAGCTATTTGAGTGCTGTATTTCTAATCAACAAATGGTAGTTGTGTAAGTTTCTCAGATGCAATATGGAAGTAGATTCTCCCCCAGCTCAACCTCAGATGCCCACAGCCACATGAGAGCCCAGCCAAGAGGCACCCAGCTAAGCTGCACTTGGATCCGTGAGCTCCAGATGCTGGAAAGCAACAGGTATTTGTTGATTGAAGCTGTTAAGTGCTGAAAACAGGTTGCCTTAAAGCCACAAATAACTAATGCAACTTAAATTTTCATTCTGGAACCAAAATGCAAACAAAACAGAATAAGCCTTAGTGCCTGAGCGCCAGGATGGGCACTTAGATGGGTGCCCACTGTGGCATAAGAGGTTAGGCTATTGCCTGCGAGCGTGACACTGGCATCCCACATGGGCCCCGGTTATAGACCCAGTTGCTCCACTCCCAATCCCCAGCTCCCTGCTAATGCACCTGGGAAAGTAGCAGAAGACAGTCCAAGTGCTTGAACCCCTGCACACATGTGACAGACCTGGAAGAAGCTCCCGGCTTCTGGCTTTGACCTAGCCCAGCCCCAGCTGTTGTGGCATTCGGGGAGTGAAACAGAGGATGGAAGATCTCTCCATCTCATTCTCTCCCTGTTAGAGAGTCAAGCAGAGGGAGGTTTTCCTTGCACACTCCATCACCATCCCTTGCATGGATCAGAGCCTCAGAGACCCCCACTCTCACTGACAGGCCTCACCCGCCACAGTGATCGGGTTCCTGGGCCTCCCTAGGACATGGGCTGCACAAACAGGGGCTGATCCGAGGAGCCAGAGGCTGACGTCAGGATGAGGATCCTGAGCTGCAGGCTTCGGCTGAGGGTGGCGTCCCAATCAATCCGGGAGTTTGCGAGAAGCAGGAATTCTTAGCATCCACCCCAGAGAGCTCACTGACCCTAATCTAAGCTTCCTGTGTCTATCATACAAAGCACCTTTCAGACCTCTCCAGGCTTGACTCCGGCTGAACCTGGAGGCTACGAAGGGGAAGAGGAGAGGAGTGAGAGCTCAGGACAGTCCTACTGCACCCAGGACTCTCGGTGAGGGACCCCACGGGGTAAGGAACCCTTGTGCTTCCACTGAAGCAGGATTCAGCCACGTGACAGTGATGTGCCTGTCCACTTAGCTCCACTGCAGTGCTCAGCAGTTCGGCCTAGCACTGACCTGGATGACATTGTGAGGGGCTTTCTCAGGCGGGATAAACACCTGCCACCAGTGGGCTTCGCATGAAAGCGAGCAAGCTCTCCGGCATGGGCCTTGTGTATCAGCTGAAGGCCGCAGAGTGCAGGCTGGGTTTCCACGGCACAGACACCCCTCCTCCATCTCTAGCATTGGACTCCAGCTTCAATGCTTCCTGAAGCATTCGGGGACGGCGGGGGGAAGTGGCCTTCCAACCTGCTAACTACAAACCCCACAGCATGGCACCTCTTTCTGCCTTGACTCTCTGCTCCTTTGGGGGGTCCTGACTAATGTACTCTACACCCTGTTCAATCGCTTTCTCTGACCTGTCCAGTCCAGCTTACCCTCTGAGACATGCCTCATTCACACCTCCTTTAGGAAGTTCTCCTGGACACCTCAGTAGCCACTCAAGCTTATCCTGTCCCTGAGGGATTTAAGGCTGTCTTGAAATTTCTCCCAATGTTGAGTTCTGCCTGCAATGCTCAAAAAAAATCTAGGCAGGTGTCCAGGCGGAGGCCGCCTTCCTGCCCTGCCTAGCAGCAGTGTAGGGTCTTACTTTGGGGTTCCTATTAGCACCAAGTAGTACCTGGTCCCCAGAAGGTGTCCAGTAAGATGTGCTTCATGGGCCAGGTGTGGTAGCCTAGTGGTTAAATCCTTGCTTTACATGCACCAGGATCCCATGTGGGTGCCAGTTCATGTTCCAGCTGCTCTACTTCCAATCCAGCTCCCTACATATGGCCTGGTAAAGCAGTGGAGGACGGCCCAAAGCCTTGGGTCCCTGCACCTGTGTGGGAGTCCCAGAGGAGGCTCCTAGCTCCTGGCTTTGGATAGGCTCCAGCCATTTACAGTCACTTTTGGAGTGAATTAGCAGACAGAAGATCTTTCTCTATCTCCTTTTCTCTGTTAATCTGACTTTCCAATTAGAATAAATAAATAAATATATTTTTAAATAGAGTTGCCTCTCGATTATGGGTCTTGTGGGCTCACGGCAAGATGGTGCCAGGAGGTGGCACAGTGGACACACTGGTAACCTCCCACAGGCCCCTGCCCACGAGGGAAAAAAAGAGACCCCTGCTTCCTCCAGTTGCCTTTTTCTGCCAGGGGCTACTGGGTATTTATAACATAATTCGTGGATTATCAGCTTAAAAATGAGCTTGCCATCAATGATTAGCCTGTGGCTGCCTTGTCAGGGCTAGCCCAAATGACATCCCTGGGGCCTTATCCTGCCTGGGGGCTGACTCCCATTGACAAACACAGCCACTGGCCACCCTGTGCTTGCTCTTGTTCCACGAGCATCCCAGAGGGGTCTCTCCTGCACCGTGGAGAGCGAGGAGGGGTGGCTGGGCCAGCCCTACCGGAGGGGGGGGCCCTATCGGGGGCCGCTTTACTCACCACCAGCCAGCCAGTCCTCAGGAAAAGCACGACCCCGAAGATGTTGATCATGCATGACGTGAACACACCGTCCCAGGTCCCAAACAGCACTGGCTCCCACATGGACAGCTGGGCCTTCCACCAGGGCCGGTGTTGGGCCAGGGCCCCCTGCAATCAGAGCACGTTGGGGTCAGGTGAGTGGCATCAGGAGGCCGGGGGAGGAGGGAAAATGGAAGAACAGGAGGAGGTAGGAGAATTCAAAGAAAACCCCAGCTTTGTACGAGGCTCAGGAACGCACACACGTGTCTAGAGCGCTGACTCTGCTGTAGAATAACATTCCCCCTGGTGCCGGATAGCACCCACAAAGTAGCAGAAAACCTTGGGCCTGGGGCGAATGCTCAACTGGTTAAATCCTCATCTTGCTTGTGCCAGGATACCATATGGGTGCTGGATCATATCCCGGCTGTGCCATTTCCCTTCCAGGTCTGCTTGTGACCCATGAAAGCAATAGAGGATGGCCCAGAGCCTTGGGATCCTGCGCCCTCACCAGAGACCCAAAAGAAACTTCTAGCTCCTGTCTTCAGATCAACTCAGCTCTGGTCAACTCAGGTCACTTGGGGAGTGACCAAGTAGATGGAAGATCTTTGTCTCTGTATCCCCTTCTCTCTGTAGATCTGTCTTCCCACTAAAACTAATTAAAAAAAGAAAACCTTGTTTGACAAACCTACTTCTGGGTCTGCTGTTCATTCAGCTGGGCTGCATCTCTGGCCTCTTTGGAGCCAGGCGTGGCTCGAGGCTGAGCAGCAGCCAGTGGAGAATGTAGACAGAGACCCTGAGCAGCATTCCTGGGGGCTGTGGGGGGTGTCTGGGCTGCAGCCCAGTGGGAGGGCGTAAGTCCCAGCTGTGGCAGATTCATCTACAGGCCCAGGTCGGGAGCAGCTCCCAGCAGGCAGCTCCTCACCTTCAGATAACCTCTCTTGATGCCTTTAGTTCCTCCAGCCCTCCTCCCACCTGCTCAACACTGTGTGCACAATCCCCTCTGCTTGGAGCAGGCACCCCCTGCAGCACCCTGGGGTTCTAGAGCATCCAGCACCAGCAGTTGTTTAGAATTCCTCGCTTATTCCTCCAACTCAAAAATAACAAAGGTACTCTGAAGGCAAGGCACCCAGAAGGAAACCCAATCTGAGAACGAGCCCAACACCGCAGCGGCTCCTGCGGCAGGCATGTTGCTTTGGCATGGGCTCAGGATCTGATCTCAACCTAGACCTGGGCAGTCTTTCAAGGCCCTCACCTGGTGAACGGCTCCCATCTGGGTGGGCGCCTGAGGCAGGAGACGCTCCCACCCAGCTGGGCTGGCCAGTGACCGTAGTCTGTTACCTGCACAGGTGCTACCTGTGAGCCACAAGAAGGCAGAGAAAGCAAGCACGAGGCAGATCCCCTAAGAGCACGATCACGGGGCCCCAGGCGCTGGGCACAGGGCATGCAGCCACACTCCAGCATACAAGACTGAAGCCCACTATGGGGCACAGCTTCTCCCCCTCCCCTGCTCTACCTCACCCACAGGGAGCCAGAAGGGATCTCAGGTAGAACAGCAGTCCCTGGTTCCCAGGGCAGGAGGGGGTGTGTAACAGGCAGCACCTTGCACCTGGCAGGTGAAAGATCCCCCACAGCAGGATGCCTCGTGCTGACCATAGCTCAAAATAACTAGGAGGCAGGAGCTCAGAGTCTCCCAACACGAAGCAATGATGAAGATTTGAGGACAAGCAGATGCCAATTACCCACACTTCATCCTTATCCTGCATGCACTACTACCAACTTATCACACTCTACTCCACAAATAGGCTGTTAAGGTAGCAAGTCAATGTTTTTTAAAACTTGAGGCTGGTGCCGTGGTGTAGTGTGTTAAGCTTCTGCCTGCTATGCCAGCATCCCATATGGACACCATGATGGGGCTCCTGGCTTTGGCCTGGCCCAGCACTGGAGAGTGAACCAGCAGAGAGAAGATCCCCCTCTCTCTTTCAAATAAAATAATAAAATTTGTTTAAAAGCCCAGCTTCCTGCCACAGCTGCTTGCAGGCGTGTCCTTGGTGAGAAAGAGTAGCAGGAACAATGCTAACCCAGGGGTGCTGGACAGTGGGAGGGCAGACCCCTCGCCTGGAAAAGGAAACAATGCCTTGACGGGGGGCCTCCCTCCCCTGGGGTTCCCAAGCATCTAGGTTGCAGAAACAGTCCTATGGCTGAGCCCACTCCCCCCTAATTCACTTACTCTTGTCTCCCCAAAATAAAAGTCTTGGGGTTCCAAATCCTGACCTTCTGGGCTTGACCTAACTGAATCTGTCTGCCTTCCCATGCAGGCCCTTCGGCTGTGCTTGTTCTCTGTGGGCCCTGGGCAAAGCCCCTACTCCCTTGCCTCTTGCCAGGCCAGTGAGGTTGCCAGGGTCGGGGGATACCACAGACAGGCAGATACCTGAGGCCACTCTGCCCAATGCAGTTTGGCATGGCTTTGCGGGATGTCGGGGCTGGGTAGGGAGAGTGGGTTTCCTGCTCCATGTCCCCGGGTGGCACACTACATCACTGTCTTCCCACACCTGCTCGGCATCACTGTGCAGAAAGGGCCATGTCTGATCCAAAGGCAAAGATCCTCCCTGCTCACCTGAAGACAAGGTGTCGCCTGCCACCTATGCCAGCACCACACACTCTGTCAGTGGCCTTCCCAGGTCCTCACCACTAATGGGAAGGTGGGCAATCTCCCACATCTCAAATGGGTTCTCCTACAAAGCCCCTGGGGCCTAAGATGTCCTCTGCTCCCTTGGTGCCTTCACACTCATTTCTCTCGCCTCGGGGAGTGACCAGGAGGGATGGTCTGGGCAACGGCTGGGCATCATCAGGGTGATTGTGGGCATGTCTTCATACACCCTGAGGGAGGGGTCCATCTCACCCATTGATGGCCTCTTTGGAACCCCTTTGTCCCCAAATGTGGACCCAAGTGGGGAGATTTTCCTTGAGCAGAACCTGCACCCAGCAAGTTGAGCCGAGTCAAGATACAGAAACACAATGCCCAGGGCAATGATGGGAACTGCTGCTCATGAGCCTCGGGCCCCAGAGAGGCAGAGACGCCTGCTGGGCACTCGGGTCCACTTATGCCATGGGCAATGCAGCCTGGTCCTCTGCACTGCACTTCACTCGGGCCGGGCTGCCCCTGTGGCACCAGCCAAGTACACCTGCAAAGACGGCATCTGCCTGGATTGCCTTGCACACCCCAGAACCGGCTTCCTAAGCGACAATCAGCTCCTCACCTCTTCATCATTGGACAGTATGCCAGACCCGCTGCCCAGTGGTCAGCCCAGGGGCAGGCGACGAGCCTCGACTGCCTTTCCCCCTGCCCCTGCAGAGGACACTGGCTGGAGCCCAGTGACCCCCGAGGCCACATGAGGCACCTGCATACAAGGCCGAGGGTTGCATGTCAGTCTCCTAGGGCCTCCACAGCCTTTATGTGCCATGATCATCATAACAATTTTGTGCAAGTGTGAAACACAATGTGGTTTTAAAAGCAGGTGAGGATCTCTTCAGGAAATCTAGAAGGAAGATCAAGAAAGAAGTCCCTGGATCTGCGCATTTTCCCCAGGCAGCTGGCCCCGAGTGCGGATGGAAGGAACGCCAGCTCCTGGAGGGGCCCTGGCAGCTGCCTCTCCCACTCCAGCCAGTGCGCCCTCACAGGAGGTCTGGGCATGTGCGCCATCCCATCCACACAGTTCTAACCCGGAAGAGCAGGGGTGGGGATGCAAAGCCCATCAGCAAGGTTATGCAGGCAGCACCCTTGGTCCTTCCTGATTGGTCATTACTGGTTCTTTCCCAGAATTGCAAGTTCTGAGCAGTGCTGGTCTCTTGGAGATGGTATCAAAGTCCAGCAGCTCCTGATGCTTACTCAGTGCCCCTTTCAGGCCTGAGCACCCCACACTGTTGCTCAAGGCCATGACTCCTCCTGCCCCGCCCTACCCCAGTCCAAGGACTGGAAAGAGGCCCTGCTACTGTGGAAATGCAGGCGCTGATGGAAAACTCCAAGACCTGCCCCTGAGCGGCAACTTTGTGTTTTTTTCTTTTGTTTGGTTTTTTGTTTGTTTGTTTTTCTTGAGTGGAAACTTCTACTAGCCCTCTGAGCTATGGACACCTGATGCTTGCCCACAAGTGACCAAACCCTGCAGCAGCCAGGCTACGGCCAATTCAACAGGGCCTGTCCTGCCCTTTCCAACCTCCCTGGCAGAAGGGCAGAGGTGGTCCTGCAGGGATGGGCTGCTGCTAGGAAGCCCACCTGGATTTGACACAAGGGAGGAGCCATGGGAACCCTCAAGCCACCCCTCCTAATAACAGAGCAGTAAAAAGTTAACCAGGAAAGAGTGATTCTCCTAGGGCTACTGCCAAGGTCATGTCTGTTGAGAATGCCGATGTAGTGAGTTTACCCTTTCGTACAGTTTAGATTTTTTAAAAATTTTTATTGGAAAGGCGGATATACAGAGAGGAGAGACAGAGAGGAAGATCTTCCGTCCGATGATTTACTTCCCAAGTGAGCACAACGGCCGATGCTATGCAGATCCAAAGCCAGGAGCCTCTTCCAGGTCTCCCTCGAGGGTGCAGGGTCCCAAAGCTTTGGGCCGTCCTCAACTGCTTTCCCTGGCCACAGGCAGGGAGCTGGAAAGGAAGTGGGGCTGCAGGGATTAGAACTGGCGCCCATATGGGATCCCGGGCATGCAAGGCGAGTACCTTAACCACTGCGCCATCGCACCGAGCCCCAGTTTAGATTTTTGAACTACATTATTTTAAATGCTTGAAATAAAACAGAGGGACCAGCATTGTGGTATAGCAAGCTAGGCCTCTATCTGCAATGCTGGCATTCCATTCAATTCAAGCCTCAGCTGTTGTACTTCAAATCTAGTGCCCTGCTTGTGGCCTGGGAAAGCAGTGAAGGACGGTCCAAAGCCTTGGGATCCTGCATGCACATGGGAGACCCGGAAGAAGCTCCTGGCTCCTAGCTTCAGATCAGCTTCACTTAGACCACTATGGCTATTTGGGAAGTAAACCAGGGGATGGATGGGAGACCTTACTCTGTCTCTTCCTTCCTTTCTCTC